CCACACCTCCTGGTCATCATCTTCTCTCTCACTTCCCTCTCTCCCACGGAGGGAGTCATTTAACAACTCAGGTCCAAGCTTCGGCCTCTCCTCAGCTCCTGCTCCCCACAGACAGTCACCATGTGCTGCTCCATGCTGGGCCTGACTTAGGCCCTAGGCCTCTTCTCATGAGATCACCTTTCCTGAAATCACCATCTGCTGTGGTGCCTGGCTCCCTCTGCAGATGTACCCAGTACTATACCTTTTCATGGTACTGCACACAGGGAAAACTGAACACTCTGCCGTTCTCCAGATGTGGCACTCACTTAGCTGACTCCTGTCCTTTGCTGAAACTGTTTTTCTACTCAGAAGCTGCCACTCAAATATACCCTCCCTCACACCAAATCCATGTCCTGTGCCTACTGAAAGCCTATTCATTCTTCATGGGCTTCTCAGATGAAATGTTTGCATCAGTTCTCTGTCCTTCAACCATGGCCCTCTAAATGGACCTCCCATGAACCCCTTGTGAATGCAACGTTCTTTGTCTAATTTTGCTGCCTTCTATGCTGCTGGGCACAGAGGTTCATTGCTGAGAATTTGCAGATTTAAGCTACAATTCAGTTACTTTATTTCCTTTTCACAAAAGTAGAGGAAAGAGACCAGAGCAAATCTGTTCACTGTACTTAAATTTAAAAGGTTGTCTTTCAACAGGGCAGTTGGTCCCATATGGAGAAGCCATGTATGTTTTAGCCCCCTTTATAAAAGGAAACTATTTTTTTTACTTTTTCAGGGAGCTCCTGCTCAACACTTTCTCTTCTCCAGTTGTTCAAAAATTCCTGATTCTTAGCAGAAAGAATTCAGAAAAATAGTAGGTTGATACTATATCGTGGTCAATTGGGGGAACATGAGTAATCCATCTTTTGTTCAATTTATAGTAATTAACAGTTTCAGAGTTTGTGTTGTGAATTGTGGTTTCAATAGACTGGATATATGATGTAAATCAAGTCTCAAAGAACAAGTAATGGGCAACTAACTTGGCTATTGTAATGTGCCATGAGATAATAAAGCAGATATAGTGCACTGCACAGGCTACAAAGACATAATGCTTCCAGTTTATTACTTGTACATGCTTTCCAAAAATATTTGATCCATTAAATGTTCAAAGGTATAGTCAGAGCATGTTAAAAGTAGCAACTCCTTTTAAGAAAAAAGTAGTATTTCAGGTGTGGGAAGGAGCATCTATATTATGTTATATTGTCCATAATTTCATGGTCTCCCAGTGACAAGTTAGGAGACTAAGTCAGTGTAGAGTTTAGGGCCCACCTTGTTGCATGTCCCAGTTCTTCAGTCTTGGTTGGACAATCTCGTTAATTTCAGTCATCTATAAAATGGGGATAGAAACAACTACCATTCAGAATAGTTGTGAGGATCACATGAGACTAAATGTGTAAAACCCTTGCCAACACCTCCTCCAGGTCCTCCTACCCACCACCACAGAGGGGAAATGTAGCTGTTTAATGTCATGCTAACCACACAGTAAGCTAGCAAATATAAATTTTTTTACACCCTAAGTAAATTGCCTCTTATAATGAATTTTGTAGTTGCCTTCTAAGTTTTAAAACACTAATTAAGTTCACTATTTTAATAAAAACCATAAACTGAATATAAAGTATTCCAATGTAAACTTTGATTTTATTTAAATTTTAATGAGACCAAATGCTTTCTATCTTTCGCAGTAGGAACCATATAGATATGAATCATGAGCATACTATATATGACTGACGTTGGAATATGATCAGCTTCTATGATGTCTTTTTTTTTTTTTTTGCCATGCTCCCCAACTTGCAGGATCTTAGTTTTCCAACCAAGGATCCAACCCAGGCCCTTGGCAGTGAGAGCGTAGATTCCTAACCACTTGTCCACCCTTTAAATTGAAAAGAAGTAACAAAGTAGGTGAAAATACTTTTAACATGTAAAATACAATAAAAGGATTAGTAGTCAGACAATGTAAAGAGCACTTACAAATCAGTAAGAAAAAAAAGCTTGGGACACAAACAGAAAATCACCAAAGAAGTACAATAACCTCATCAGCATTCAGATAAACAAAAAATAAAACAAAATCAGCTTGGCAAAATTGAAAAGTTTGATTATAGTGTTGATCACGATATAGAAAAATGGATTCTCTTCTGATCAGAGTGCAAATTGATTCAGCCACTTTAAAATGTAATTGTTAAAATAGGAAATATGTGTATCAAAGGGCCCAGCTATTTAATTTCTCCTTATTTACCCTAAAGACCCCTTGTACTATGCACAGTGAGGCACGCACATATATACCCACTGCAGCATCATTTATAATCATGAGAAATTGAAAAAAAAACTAAGTTCCCATCAAGACGGAAGTGACTAAGAAACTATAATGCATGCAGGACATGTAATACTGTTCAATAGTGGTCATAAAGAATAAGCTATAACTGGGTGTGTTGATAAAAAAGAATCTCCATGACAGGCTGAGAATAAACATTGTAAAACAGTCTTATAATGTGTCACCATTTATTTAAAAAGAGGGAAATAAAGCATGAGATAATACTATAGATTTTCTACAATAGTAGCTTTCAAAGTCTTTTTGGAAGTAAGTCTTTTTGGAAATGACACTTAGTAAGACACACATTTTATATCTCGACTGGGTGGATCCTTACTACATGCAATGCACTTTGAAATTTTTATATCCTATTCTATTTCATTTCATGCCATTCCATTCCATTTTTCAAAATGCTGGTCATGACTCATTAAACAGATTTAGGACTCAACCACAGTTTGAAAAATATTGTTCTGAAGATACACACTGAAGTACGTAAAGAGAAAAGTAACTGGAAGGCAACACACCAAGCTGATATCAGAGGTTTCTTCTGGGGAGGTGGCTGATGGGTGGTGGTTCCAGGGACCCTCGAAGTCTCTTCTGTGATACTTAGGTTGTTTTACATTTCTTTGCTTGTTTTACGATGGGCATGTGTAATTACACATTTTAGGATTTATTTTTTAGCGAGTAAGCAACCAAAACTATTTTCAAAACTCAAGGACTTACCTTATGGTCAAAGGTCTTAAGGAAAATAATTTTAAGCAATTTTGTATATTGAGTAATTCAGAAGGCACACATTCTAGCTAACTGTCTCTGTTTTTATATCTAGCCACAGATGAATACATTCTTGTGGCAAGGTAGACATCCCACTCAAAATGTCATCACAAATCTAAGAACTCTCTGCCTTGCTGTGAGATTTTAACTCATTACCTATGAATGAAAGTCCATATACCAAAAACATAAAGTAATCAACATAAGTGTGATCAAAAGCCGTCCAGTTTCAGAAAATACAAAGTTAGTCTTCCAATAGCAACATCAACTTGGCCACATTAGTTTTGGATATCAGTCTAGACAAACAAATAATTACATTTTAAGAATTGTTTCTGCAAAGAAGCACCATTGTAGAAAATATGACATATGTACTCTTGGCCATCTCTTCAGGCTGGAGCAGATACTTCCAGCTCTCTGTTTTCTATTTCAGAGCTACCTTAATTCTTTCTGATTTACCTTCACATTTTTACCCTAAGGGTAATTTACTAAACCTCATCTTAATGGCAAGTAATTGTTGCTTAAAAGGAGTTAGACACAGTTCCTAGAGGATCCTTTAAATTGCAAACATTTAAACAGGGTATTAAATGAAGATGAGCTAGAGCTAGATGATTTCTTGTGTGAATTTCTCAACAAACTCAGTAAACATACCCATAAGGAAAATAATATTTCTTTCAATGTTATATTTATTTTCTTTTTTGTGGTTTGTGTCCTAAACATACATTTTGGTATGCTAATAATAAAACAAGTTGGATCTTTTAATGGCCACATTAAATTTTCTCTATAAATGTTTTGAAAACAAGTTTTTATGGTAAAATATGCAAACTTTCTCAGAAAGCATTTATATAAGAATCATTTTTCAAAATCTTAGCTGTTGCTAAAGCAATGATTGTATTCACATTTAATTTCATGTGCACAAAGTTGTCTGGAGGTAAGAAAAGAAGGACTTTGGAAATTTTCTTTAAAAGAGAAATTGGCAAGAAAAACGTTATTTCAGAAAGTATGCTACATGTTATCAGGAGGAAGGGAAAGAGCAGGAATGTGGGAGAGAGAATAATATACATCCACATATCTGAAGTCTCTCTTCCATTTTCTCTAGTGTGGATCTGAGGGTGAGAGGAGGCAGAGGGGACCTTGTGGCTAATACAGGGGTCAAGGCCATTCCTTTAAATAGCTTTACATTCCTCAAAGTTAAGAATGGGCCACTTGTGGCTATGACATGTGAATCTGGGAAAGCAGCTTATATGCAGTTTGATACCAAGCTAGCCTAGAACTGTGAAAGTGATGTGGCTCTGTGATGAGAATTCAGGATAAATTATAGATGTGTCTTATTTAGACCTGAAGAGAAATCTCAGTGAAAATTATAATTTGTAATAATCAAGGGTTGGAAAGTAACATACTTTTCAAACCCTTGATTATTACAAATTATTTTTCTTTTGTTTGCTCTTTAAGATTGCCTATTCACTATTTGCATTTTAGTAGTTTTAATAAAATTAGTTTTATTTGCTACTGAGGGCAAATGAATTTAAAATTTTTAAGTGTGATAATCTCTTAACTGCACATATCTGAAGCCCAGCTTTTCAATGGCCACAGTATCCAAGACACCACTGACACCTTGTGGCAGCCTGGTGTAATTGCAGGCAAAATTTCCAAGTGATAAACAGTCTTTAAGATGTTACAAATGATAACATTATTATGTTACTTAGAGGTCTAAGAAGTAGAAGGAAAGAATTGTGCATCCCATATCATAAAATATTGAAGTGTAACAAGGTCTCTACATATTTTCTAATTGGTAGGATGAGAGTATTTTTTTTTAGAATTTTACCCCATTTTCCACTTAATACCACTTGTGAAGGGGAAAAGGGTCTTGATTAACTGCAGAATTTGTCATCCACAGCATCTGCAGGAATTGCTGTGTCCCAGAGGAAAGTACGTCAGATCAGTGATCCTATTCAGCAGATCTTAATCCAGCTGCACAAAATCATCTACATCACTCAGGTCAGTGTGCTAGCTTTTTATTTACTTTTTATCTTAAGTACAAGTTTGGTGCTAATATTGGTAAGGAACTACTTTGAGAAACTTTCAGTTCGAGTGATGCTTGTTCTTATTCTCTCCAAATACATATATTTGGGAACACTTTAGCTTAGCAGCAGAGCTGGGAAGGTCATAGGTTAAAAGAAGCAGATAAGTCAGGTTTTCCCTGTGACTCCTAACCTGCTCTTTTACTGCTAGTGCCCAACCAAAAACAAACTTCAACACAAATGGCCCTTTAATGTGTGGGTGAAAGTGGGGACAGAGCTGGGCTACAGGAAAGAAAGGAAAGTAGTTCCCTAATCCTGACGAGGCTGGGATAAAACCAAGACCTCTCAAAAAACTGAAAACACAAAATTCAGGATTTTAAAAACTTTTTCTAAATCTCAGTGACCCTTAGGCACTGGGGAAGTAATCACTGGTTACAAATTATTTACAGAAATCTTTCTAACGATAAGGAAGTTGAATGGTCATTTACCAAAGTTAGGTACTGTTAATAAGAAAACAAATTTTGTAGATAAATAAGTGTAGATATTTGGACAAGAAAGTAACTATTATTTTGAAGTTTAAGACTGTATGTCTTAATATGTAGTTCATTCATTTGTTCATTTTTTCATTTAACATTTAATTACTAGATGCCTACTATGTACCAGCCACTATTCTAGGCACTTGAGACATATCAATGAGCAAAACATATAAACATTCCCTCACCCTAAGATTCAGAGACCAAGTCTGATGATTCTGTCAGTTGCCAATTGTGGCAATTCCAATTAAATATTCAGGTACTAGAGAGAAATATCACCAGGCCAGTGGAACAACTGGGCCCATTGTAAGTCTAACTTGGGCTAATATGCCTCCCCCCTCAAAGAAGCAAACAAACAAAAAAAAACCCATTTTGATTAGTGTACCACGGTGGCATTATAAGACTCTAGGAAACAGAGTCAGTTTATGACTGGTGTCCAGTATTCCCTGAAAGCCTGTGTATTTCCTTCTTCTCTGTGAGAAGTCACCCTAATAGATAGCTGCAGGACTCTCTGGAGAAGGGCTGGAGGAAATTTTATTTATTTTATATTTATTTTATAAATTTTATTTATTGCATAGGTATAGCAATGTTTCAGGGCCCTTCCTCAAGGAGCCCCAGCTTTCCCACTAATTAAGGAGCATTTGGTCTTTGAATTGACCAACGTCTGGAAACTATGTGAGAGGCGGTGACTCTCAATTGAGGGCAACAGTAACTCAAATCACATTTTTGAGTTACTAGAGTGTCTTTTCTGTTATATGGATTAAGGAATACTCTAGTAGGATGACCACATGTTTCTTTCCCCAAGAACACCCCGATCAATTAACTACCATCAGAGATCTCTGTGGGCCAGGCATTCTCATTAACAGTAAACATCCCTGCCATCCTTTATGGTAATGCTCCCAACTTGTCTCTGGTGGCCAGGGGCTGCCTCTTGGCCTCTGCTCCTCTGGGATCACATCATCCACACTGGAACCTTGTACTTTCAGTGTCATATCTGGCCTACAAAGGAGAGCAACTGTAAGGTCTTCAAGGATGCTGGTTCTCCCCTCTCCAACGTGTTTCTCACTGCTTTAGTGAAAGTGAAGCCTAACCTGGCCTCTGTATCCTGACACTGAATTAAATCTTGGACACAGAGTTTTGAGTGAAGTAGAAAAGAATAGCTTTATTGCTTTGCCAGGCAAAGGGGGCCACAGCAGGCTAATGCCGTCAAAACTCTTGTGTCCCTACCTGGAGTGGGTAGTGAGGAGTTTTATGGGAATGGTTCAAAGAGGGCGTCATTAGCTCATGGACATTCTTCTGACTGGTTGGTGGTGAGGTAATCGGGAGTCAGCATCATCAACCTTCTGGTTCCAACCGGTCGGCGGTCTACGTGCTTGTGGGCAGCATACAGTTAACTTCTCCCACCTGGTGGGTGTTTCAGTATCTGCAAAACAGCTCAAAGATATTGTGTGTATCCCTTAATGGGGAGCCAGGACCCTTCCCCAAGGCTGAACTATTGTTCCTCTTGACTGCTCCTCCCTTGTCTCCGCATGCCCTCCCTTCCCTAATTAGCGACTGCTTAAATCTGCCAATTGGAACTCAGGGAAGGTCATGGAGGCTGAATGAAACCTATTTCCTATAATCAAAGAAATGGGGGACACAGAAAGCCTTTTGTGCCCAGGAGCCCCACAGGGTCCTGTGTGGTATCAAAAGAAATGGCTTCTGAGTGTTCTTGCTAAATGAAATTGGGAAGTGAGTGTGCAGATCACCCATGGTAAATCTATCCCAGCATTCTTGTCTCTCCAAGCCTTTGAATTTCCTCCTCCACAAGCAAGAGAAGCTCTGGCATTTTATCCTCATTAAATGTAGGCCACCATTGAGTCCAGGTTTTAGTATACCTCCAGCTGCATGAACTAATATACTAAATCTAGACTCTCTAGTAAGTACACACATTTGAATGAATTCAGCTTGATATAGTGCTATATTTCATCCTTGTTGGCCTGACACCCTTAGAATCCACTCCTGCACATGTTCTCTGGGTTGCTGCTGATATGGAATAGCAAAATCTTTTGATGCAATTCTTTTGATGAAGAGCAGATAGGGAAATGTACAAGTTCCCCTGGATCATATTGAGATATGACCCTTGTTGCTGACTTAAAGCTCACTGTTGTGAGTCTTAAGAGGAATGAGCAGCCCTTTTTAAGATATTACCCCTCATCTGTCCTAGGTGAGGTTAGTATAGAGTTTTGAAGCAAAAGAAGTCTTATCTTCTCAGATGCAGGGTTTCAAGCTACTTCCACTGGCAATGATGGCTCAGAGTGAGATGAATTTCAAGACTGTCAGTTTTATCTGGGTCCAACAACATGTCCCTACTTGGAGTTTTAGTATCCTAATCTTTTTTTCTAACTTTTGCATGAGAAACTTGGTGAAATGTACATTCAGCTGACATTGTAATTCAGCAACCTGATCAATTAGACTTGTGTTTGATTATCAGCCATACCAGTGCTGTGGTAGCAAGAAATACATTCTATTATGGCTGACATGGAATCTTTCTGGCTCTTAGACTATGAATTGAGCTGAGAGTTAAAGGACCCAGGCTTGACATTGTCTCTCTGTAAGTGCCCCAGTGCATCTAAAGGACCCACCCACCCCACCATCCTCGTGGTCTTCATACTGCCTGACAGTCAAGTGTAGCAGCCACTCAAGCTTCCAGGGTACTCGCTTCAGTTGGCTCTTCATCCAGGTGACAACTGACTAACTGTGAGGCCACTGCATGCCATGGATTACTATCATCCTCTGTCCTATTGGCAAACAACCCAACAGTGGGCTCGGTTCCAAGGGTACAGTCAAATCAATTTCCAAATGCCATCTCTATGGCTTCTCCTGGACATTCCTGGAACCAAATCTGTTTCAGTGAGGGTCTATTCAGGGGACAGAAACCAAACTGATTTCAACAGGGAAGGTTTCACATAAAGAATTGTTTAAGGGCTTCCCTGGTGGCGCAGTAGTTGGGAGCCTGCCTGCCGACGCAGGGGACATGGGTTCGTGCCCTGGTCTGGGAGGGTCCCACGTGCTGCAGAGCAGCTGGGCCCATGAGCCATGGCCGCTGAGCCTGCGTGTCCGGAGCCTGTGCTCCACAACGGGAGAGGCCACAACAGTGAGAGGCCCGAGTACCGCAAAAAAAAAAGAATTGTTTGAGAATTACTACTAATAATAGGGTATTATCTACTGAGGAGGGGAAGAGAAATCTAAAGACTATAAGAAGAGCAGATAGGGAAGTCACTACTTATAGGACTGAGGCAGAGCACCCAAGAAAGGAACAAAATAGAAGAGGACACCCTCATCCTAGGCTGAGGTCCAGACCTCACTGGAAAGCCAGAGAAATGTCCTGAGGTACTGTGCTGTAGACTTGCTGGAAATCAGCATGTAAGAGTGGTGTGCTGGGAATTGCCCACTAGGAACTGCCCTCTCTGGGACCAGGGGAGGCTGCCCACTGGTAGGTGCTGCTCCATGGAACTCTCTGGAAAGCTGCCTGCAGGGTTGGTGGCACTGAATCTGGCTGGGGGTGAGCACAGCTGGGGGTCCCCATTCCTACTGACCATTCACTGCTGCCAAACTAAGGCAAGGCAGGAGCATCACTGGAACCAGAAAGACAGGCTCCATCCTCCACTAGTGCCCTCTGCAGATAGAGCTGAACATCCAGCCAGCTGACAAGGGATATATGTTCCAGTGTCACAAGCAGGGCAATGAAGGTGGATTTGGAGCTGAGAGTAAACAAACTTACAGCTGGCACAGTTAGCCTGGGGGCTCAACAAGGGACTACCTTATTTTGGACCTGCCCACCTCTAACTTCTCACTGTTTCCCCTTTGACTTCTGCCCAGCCTGGAGAGTAGCCTGGCTCTTATCTATCATATTTGGGTTATTTTTTGAGGTTTAAAATTTTTTTAACCAAATCTGATATTCTTTTCAGTTACCCTGAAGGCCAGCCTTTTGAAGGCTCAAGAGTCTAAAACTGATTACCCTTTTCTCCATTTTCTTCTGTCAACCTTTCCTTTAGGCAATCCTGCATAACTGTCTACCTAATCATTTAATCAAATGAAAGTGGGTGAAGGGGCATAAGAACATAGGATGGGGGAGAAAATTGGTTAATAAGTCAAAATATAATCTTCCATATCTCTATCGAGTAAAGATATTCAAAAATACATTTCCATTTAAATACTGATATAGATACATGGAGAAGAATTCTTAACTTCAGTGCTATGGAAATAACTTCAAATAGCTTGTTGGTTACCTTAATGATTCACTACTAAATTGAAAGAAAATATCCTTTGAAATTTAAATATAATTTCCATATGCCTGTCCTGCTAATTTTTATATTAAAAAACTTTTGAAATGGATGTATTTTGTTTCTTTATTGGAGTTCAAAGTATTATAAAGCAAGAATGAAACTATTATAAACACCTT